AAAAAAAAGGACAGAAAAAAGAAAATCTCGGGAGAAATGTAGAAAAAGAAGAAAAAAAATTCTAGTGGTTATTATTATAATATAATCTTCATCATGCTGTCGCATGCATACCTTATATTTTCTACATGTCAAAGAAATCTTTTTTACCGTTCTACTTCTTTTTTTCTTCTTTCTTTCTCACTCAAATAATCTTTATCTGTCTTCATTGATAATTATACCAATAGAAAAGAAAATTTATCTTGTTCCTTTTTCTTTTATGTTTTCTAGAAACAGACCTAGGTGGTGGTGAAAATTATGATGATTCGGAAACAGATGGTTCAATAATTAGTGAAACTGACACACGTGCAACGTTTAGTGTATGTCAATATGCTTTTTTTTGCTAGATTAATCTTCAATATATATGACTTCTTTGTTTTTCATTTTAGAATGAAACCTGTGTTGAAGACATATCATTTCAAACAATACGTGATGTATTTACATCATCTGAATCAACACGAGAACGTTCTGATGAAAAACGACGTTTAATTGAAGATTTTCGTACAAAACCATTTGAAGAATTAAAATCTCGTGTTAATGAAAAACAACGACAAGCGGATCAACGAATTGAACAGTTATTAAATGTTCTTTATTTATCAAAAGATACGTTACCATTAACAATAGCAACAACAGTAACAACGCCAAATGGAAATCTTCGAAATAATCTAACACCAACAACAAGTGAAAAAACTGTAATACATACAAATAATTTTAATTATCCGGAATTGTTTACTTATTAATATAAGAATATATATATATATATTTTTATTGTCATTAATGTCCGGTGTTTATTTATTTAATCTCTTTCTCTCTTTCTTTTTCTTTCTTTCTTACTGTATCCATTTCGCGTTTACTCTTGTTTTATTTCCTAATGTCAAATGAATATGTACCGAGAAAAAAATAACTCATACTAACTTCACAATAGTCTATATTTCAAAGAATTATTTATAAATAACAACTATGTATTCGAGTTAAATTAAATTAGTTAATGAATTAAAATAAATCTAAAATAATCATGCATATAGATAAAATACAATAAAGTTAATTGTATCATTAATAATAATCATAGACAAAAGAAAGGCTTTGTTTGATAGTATAACTATTTTCTCATGTATTACTTAACCTTGACATTGAGAATGGTTCAATCAATATTAACAATTCAATAAGCATATATTTCAA